GGGTCTGCTCTCCCGCCGGCCCCCCGGGGTGCACGAGCTGCCGGTGCCGCAGCCCGAGCACCGCATCCTGAAGGTGTCTATGAAAGAGCTCAACAAGAGCACCCCTCTCCTCACCGAGGGCCAGGCCATCTGCTTCACCATCCTGGGCGTGCTCACCAGCCTGGTGGTGCTGGGCACCGTGGGCATCGTCTTTCTCAACAAGTGCGAGGCCTGGGTGTCCAACCTGCGCTACAGCCGCATGCTGCGCAAGAAGAGGAGCCTGCTGCTGCAGTACGGCAGCGGCGAGGAGCTGGCCGTCAACATCATCTTCCCCGAGAAGGGCGCCGTGGCCACCTTCCGCCGGGAGGCAGGCGGCGAGCAGGAGATCTGAGCCGCGCCCCCGGGCCCTCTGCCAGCGGCCCACCCAGCTCCCTCTGCGGTCTGCCCTAATCTTTGTGGTGGAATTGGCTGTCCTGTGTTGAACCTGGTGAACGCTGCGCTTGCGTGTACCGTCTCTGTGCTGCCGTGTGACAAACGCGTTGCCAAAAGAACCCTCTTTCTCTCTCTATTAATGCATGATAAAGATAATACGAAGAATTTCCTCTTTAAACAAGTAAAAGAAATAAGTATGTTATTCTAAACTCTAAATGTAATGAAATATCAAAAAATACCAAAAAAAAACATGGCAACAGAACCAGGACGTGGTGCCGACGCCCCTCTGCAGGGGTCTCGGCCGCAGGGTCCTCGTGCAACCGTTACGAGTCCAGTGCATGACCGATCACTGTGGAAAGGGCTAAGATCTCTTTCGTTCGTTAATTCTCACACGCCACATCCAACTCGCACTCACCTCGAGCCAACACCGCAACCCTTCGATCTTTCTGCTTGCTTTGAGATTTTGCAGAGTGCAGCGGCTGTGTGTCAGGCAGAGAGCGCCCAGGCTGGCTGCCGGGGGGCCGGGACCATCCCAGCCCTGCCACTCCCTCACCGCCTGATCCTTGGCGAGGCCCCATCCCACTCCTGGGCCCACCTTCTCGCCCCTCTTGGGCGGGGTTTGAACACCCACCACCAAGGTCCTCTCTGACTCTAAAACTTTGAATTAGGAACGAGGGGATTGAACCAAAAATGTTTTCTGACCCAAGAAACAGGATCTGAGGGAGACTAAGTCTCAGCCCGGGTCCGATGGTCTGGCCTATCCTGGAGGCTCACTTGACCTGCTGGAGCTGATCCCACTGCGTGTCTCCAAGGGGGAGCCTCCCTCACCCCCACTGGGGACGCACTGGTCCCCTGGAGTTGTAATGTGCCGTCTG